TAATAATAATAATAATAATAATAGAAGATGTTGTTGTTGTTGTTTTCAAATCCCTTTAGCTGCGAGCATTTCGCTCTTGGCAGCGCAAAGCCTCCCTCAAGTAACCACATGTTCTTGTCATCTGGTCAACGCCAGAGTAGAGCAGACTTTGTAAGTCTGTAGGTGTGTGTAGGAGCCTGCGTCGAAGAACTGCCAGGTTTGGACAGTGAAGGAGAAGATGTTCAACGGTCTCCTCGAGGTAGTCACAGTGTCTGCAACGGGGTTCCCACATGGGATTAATTCTCTCTCTGTGCTTGTTGGTGTGTAAGTGTCCTGTGCGGGCTCTGAAGATCAAAGTCTGATCGACTCTACATAAAAGATTAATAATTAATAAAAGAATAATAATAGATAGATTGATAGCATTTGTATAGCGCAAATCCCCACTAAACAGCAAGCTCTGTGCGCTTCACAATCTATACTATTACCCCAGAAGACCTGAGAGCATTCATTAAACAACCTCAACTTCCTGGGAAGCATACAGTGCAAGCGGCCATTTATATGCGCTAAAACACTAATATACTGACAAGATCTTTCGCTGTATTTGACCGGGTATCCATTCCCACCTCGGTGAAATGAGGAAAATTCGTGTAAAATGCTTTTCTCAAGAACACTACGTCGGGCCCACGGCTGGAACCCCCGAACCCACAACCTCACGATTACGAGTCTGGTAGCCTAACCACTAGGCCACCCACACCACAACACAGGACGTCATATTTTTCCCGCACCAAAAGTGCACACATGACTAGAAGAATTTAGACTGAACCTTGGGGATCAATATAATAATCATAATATATTATATGTACCTTTCTCTCGAAGTATCACAGTAATGCAAGTGTCTTGACTCGACTTACAAATTTGTTTGACACCGTGGTGACATCAGGCGCTCTTCAAAGTAATAAAATCAAACAAATAATTTTTTTCCCCCGTAGAGCAATTTTATTCAATTAAAAAAGAAATGTTTGGCTTAACTAGTTTTACGTTTAGGCTATTTAAATAAAAACACATTTTTGTGCGGATTTAACACCCCCCCCCCCAAAAAAAAACAACAAAAAAAAACAACAACAACAAAAACCAAACAAAAAACAACCCAAAAACCCCCAACATCAAAACAATTGATAAAGGGAACAAAAATGTAAAGTAGTTGTTTCCAAGGACGCTCAAACTTTGAGAGCCACCAACATTTGGTGGCTATTTTCTCCCTAATTTAACCTCTGAAGCCAGGCGACCGATCCCCATTTCCACCTATCGCACACATCTCGATTTATTCTCAAGAAAGATTGGTAATTTCTTTTTTATTCTATCAAAAGTAACCAACGCCTAATTCCACCGCGTCGTGACTCATTTTAATCTCTTATTTACAGACAGAGGCCAAGGCTCTAACGGAGCTCTGAAAAATTAATAAATAATAATAATAATAATAATTAAATAATAATAAATAGCATTTGTATAGCGCATATCCCCGCTCAACAGCAGGCTCTATGCGCTTTACACTATATTATTACCCCAGCAGATCATAGAACACTCCGA